GTCTGTCCCCTGATGGTGTCTCCTGTGCGTCTCTGTCTCAGGTGGTACGTCCTGGATGCTGAGACCACCGATCTGGTTGCGATCCACACTGATGGGAATGAGCAGCTGTCAGTGATGCGTTTCTCTGTCGGTGGGTGGAGTTCATGTTTATCGAACAGCTTCCATCATGACATGAGAAGCCTACAGATCCCAGCATGCCTCTCTTTCTCTGTCCCTGCAGATGGCAGTTTGCTGGCAGTGGGATCCCATGATAACTTTATTTACCTCTACACCGTCTCCGAGCGAGGACGCAAGTACAGTCGATATGGAAAGTGTACAGTGAGTGTGATCTTACAGAAAACCAGATGAGTTCAGCGCTCAGTGAGGACAGTGCTGATTCGTTTGGTTTGAAACTAATCGCTGTGTTTCAGTTTTAAATTAGTTTTCATGCCAGTGAGTTTCTGGACGCTGCAGGTTCTGCATTTAGATTTCTGTGTATTTTCTGAAGATTCTAAACAGTGTCGAGGCTCCGACAGCCACAGGTGCACGTTACCTGTAGTGGGCAGCTCCTGCTCAGTTTACAGGGATTCCAGTTACAGCTGTTACCTGGCAGCACCTGTCTGGAGAGAGAGTCAGACCTGGTGTATGCACAGCGTGTAGACAGCTGGAGTTCCAAGAGTCACCTGCTGCTGACAGTGTGAGGATGATGATGGTCAGGTGTGTTCATGGGTTACCTGAATGTTTCCACAGGGACATTCCAGCTACATCACACACCTGGACTGGTCACCTGACAACAACTTCATCATGTCCAACTCTGGAGACTATGAGATCCTCTACTGTGAGTCCAGTGTCCTGTGGTGACGTGTGCGGTGTACCGCGGCGCTGTAGTGCTGTGTGTTGTGTAGTAACGGTTGTGTGTTTTCAGGGGACGTTCCAAATGGTTGTAAACTGATCAGAAATCGTTCGGAGTGTAAAGACATCGACTGGGCGACCTATACCTGTGTCCTCGGATACCACGTGTTTGGTCAGTACACCTGAGCGTGTTGTTGGTATCGACCCAAACGTCTGGAGCCCAGATCCACTGAGTCTGTCTGTGTGTCTGTCTGTCTCAGGTGTTTGGCCGGAGGGTTCGGACGGGACCGACATCAATGCTCTGATCAGATCTCACAACAGGAAGGTGATCGCTCTGGCTGACGACTTCTGCAAAGTTCACCTGTTTGCCTACCCATGTTCAACACCCAAGGTACACACAGACTCACTACAGCCGGTGTCGGCCCTGAACTCGTCACGGTGCAGAGTGGCGTTGCTCCTCAAGTGTTTACGGCCTGCTGACTTTAGCTCTGTAGTTATACTGATTTCTTTCCACCATGTTCGTTGTAATTCATGCAGATATGCTGCTGAACATGTGTCTGCTGGTGTCTGAACAGGAGGCTCTTTATTAGGAACACAGCGGCTCGGCCTCCTTTTACTTGTTTTTGATGGAAACTGTTCTTTGAGGTCCGGTTCCATGTTGACACGATTCATCAAATAATTTCCTTCACGCTGCCACTCACCTGTTCTGACACTCCAGAGGTTCTGCTGACTCTGGAGGCCACTGAGCTGGGTTCTGGTCACAGTGTCCAGAATCAGGGTGGTGGGGCAGAGAGTCTAAATGTTCAGTTCCTTGATCATTTTCTGCAGCTCCTCTTGTTGCCACACCAGAAAACCTCCCTGAACAACCTCAGATCTGTTCATTAGCACCGTCTGGCGCCGGACCCAGTGGCAGCCTGTTGTAGCAGCGTTCACTTTTTTCTCTTTAAGTTGTTCTGGTTTCGTACTTTGCCAGTTTCCCCACAGTGGGACTAACAAAGGATTATCTTATTTAATCTGGCTGGATTGTTGAAGTCAGGTGTACAGGTGTTTCAATTGCTTGATCTCTCCACTACTCTACTAATTGATTAGTCATTAATTAATCAAAACAAATAATTTCCTGGAAGTTAAAAACAAGCATGCGCTGATATCAAATCTCGATGTCCACAAACTGTCAGCCGTAGTTCCTGATGAAGTGTATTTATTATTTACATTCCAAACCTGTTGTAGATCAATAATCAATCATGTGTGTGTGTGCAGGCCCCCAGCTATAAGTACAGTGCTCACAGCAGTCATGTGACCAACGTCAGCTTCCTGCATAACGACAGTCACCTGATCTCTACGGGGGGGAAGGACACCAGCATCATGCAGTGGCGTCTGGTGGAGAAATCTTCGCTGTGTCTCACTGACGGGCTCCTCGCTAACTCCACCCCCCGCCGGGTTGATGCCGTCTTTGCCCCGCCCCCTCCTGCAGCATCCACACCCACACAGGAACCTACTCCTCCTCCAACAGCCAATGGGACCCAGGAGCCCTTCTCCGAAACTCCACCCCCCACAGATATAGCCCCGCCTTTGTCAGAGCTGACCCCGCCCCACTCCGAGTCGACTCCGCCCCCCTCCGACAGCACAGTGAGTCTGAAGGACAGCCTGGAGCCGAGCGACGACACGGCGACGCCTAGCGACGAGGGGCTGCCCCCGCTCACCCCGCCCTCATAGACACGCCCTCCGTGCTCCTGTCCAGCTGTCTTGTGGGGACCAGACTGGGTTCTGAGCCTTGTGAGGACGACTTCACAAAGTGAGGACGTTCTGTTGTGTCCTTGCTTTGTGTCAGACCTGTCAATGTCTGTTCAAGGTTCACACTTGGTTTTAAGGTTAACATTCAGTTTGCATTTGCAGTTAGACATGTGATGTTAAGTGGTGATTAGATAAGGGTGGAAATAATTTGAAAACTCTTTCAGATGTGAAGTCACACACATTAAACACATATGTTCAGATTTAGTGTGGATATCGTCTCTGATATCCATCAGAATAAACCTCCAGAAATCCACTTAGAAACCAGAGAAGACAAGTCAGAAGCTGCATGAGAACTTGTCTGATTTTGGTTTGATGCTCAGTGATAACTCTGTACGTCCATGTAACACTGCAGCAAGCTCAGCTTTTCGTACTCAAAAAGGAAGAACAGAAGTCAGAAACGGTGTGACTGTGATGGGGGACGGTGATAAGGGTCCTCACAAGTTCAGAAATACACGTGTGTGCGTTGCAAATGGAAACTGCAGAGTCACATGACTTATCTCAGCAATCAACTGTTCACATAGACGTTCCTTCTTTTTAAAAAAACAAACAAACGTGAGGTCACAGTTTGAAACACCTGGAGAGTCGCATTCACCTGAGCAGAAACAGGGTGGGGAGGGCTTACCTGGAACACACACACACCTGTCTCACCTGCCGTTAGTCTCATCCTTCAAACATATTTCCTGCACCAGAGTGCCAAAGCAGGTCGGTGCACCTGTGGTTTACTTGGAGAAGGCTTGAAGAATATAAATGACAGTCCAGGTGAGACAGGTGTGTCTGCGGTAAATGTTCCTCCACCAATCAGAGCAGAGAAGGTAAACAGGAAGTGGATCTGAGAGATTCTGGAAAACTTTAAAGTCTGTTGGAATTTTGTTTTTAAATTCTTTGGAGATCAAAACTATAATCAGTTTTTAAATTGCTGAAACCATTTTTGATAAACAGAAATTTGCTGAATCCATTATTTTGACTTGAGCTTCAAACTGGAAAAAATCAAATCGAATCTGAAGGTTTCAAATTTTGACATAAAGTCCTTTCAGGTTGGTTCAGGTTTTAAATCACAGCAGTTTAGTTACTGCTGGAGACCTTAGGTATTGCTGTTTGGAGAGTTTTAGTCCAGAGAGTGAAGAAATCAAAGCTAAAGTTCAGCTGACAGTAGCGTCAACAGGAAGTCGACCTCCAGATTAAAAGCTGTGACTGACGTGTTGTTTCAATGACCTGAGTCCAGAGTTGACAGAGATTCGATCAGAGTGAGTCGTCGCCCTGACCGATGATCTGTGCAGCACCTGTTTGTATATACTGCAGATGTCTGTGTGTATATTTCTGTTCACCAATAGGAGGCAGCAGCTCCTCAGGGATGCTGTGGAGATCCGCAGTCACATTCAACATCCAATCAGATCATGGGAAACCTGAGATCTTCTGCTCTGATTAGCTGGTTTCAGTAATTTCCTAAATGACTGCAGGTGATGTTTTAGTCTCTTCTGGACCATTTCTGTTCAAAATGTTTTCTGAATGTCAGGATGATGATGTCACTCCATGGGGGGAGGGGGGAGGGGGGTAATCAGGTGGGTTTTGTTGTCGTTGCCTTTTTAATACTCATCTATCTTCATCGTTTCTATGCTTGTCTCCCTGAAGGGCTTGTACAGAGTTCAGGAACTCGCCTGGATGTTCAGGGAGGGTCGGGGCCATAGGGGATGTGGGTGGGCCCGGGGTGGGATCGGTGGGGTCTTGGGACGTTTCTGGAGGAAAGTGTTTATTTTCAGTGTTCAGTAACAACATTGATACTCATGATGATGATTTTCATGTGACTGTTTTGAGCCAATCATGTCTTCTCTCATGCATTCCTGTCAGATGACAGACTGTACTGAAGATTTCAACAAAAAAATGCAAATAAATGTTTTCAAAACTGACGACTGATCAGGCTCTTTGTTCTAGCAGCTAAAGCAGCCATGTGACGGTCCAGCTGGCTGTTTGATGTCATCTCAGTGTGCAGCACCAACTCTGGCCTGTAGGAGGCAGCGTTGATGTAGAGCAGCCCCCCGTCAGCCACAGCATTAGAGGCTGCTGCCATTTCAGCATAACCAGGACATCATCTCGTCATCGGCTGGACTAAACTGAACATCCACCTCAAACTGGTTACCAACTCGGTGAGTCGACCAGGATGTCTGAGCACGCTCACACTAAAGAGGCGGAGCTGGCAGCAGATGACCAATCACAAACAGGGACAGGTATAGAACAGTTTAATTATCATAATGCAGCACAAGATTCCATCCATCCATCATCTCTACACCTTAGTCCTCACTATGGGGGGCGGAGCCTGACTCAGGGTGAAGGCAGGTTCACCTGGACAGGTAACCAGTCTATCACAGGGCTACACTTAGAGACAGACAACCAAGCACACTCACATTCACACCTACGGACAATTTACAATCACCAATTAACCTCAGCATGTTTCTGGACTGTGGGAGGAAGCCGGAGAACCCGGAGAGAACCCACGCTGCACGGGGAGAACATGGAGACTCCACGCAGGAAGATCCCGGGTGTCCTCACCGGGACGCCAACCGGTGACCTTCTAGCTGTGAGGCCACGGTGCTGACCACTGACCCACCTTGCTGCACAAGACTGAATACTGAAATGACTAATGCAGTCCCTTCATGCTGCTCACAAAAAAAAAGTACAACATAAACAAGTAATGAACAGAAGTGTTTGTAGCGATGTGGCCGTTGACTTCAGTAACTCACGTTTAGTCTCATTCTAATGGCTGTGGAACAGATTCAGTCTTTAAGCTGCCAGTTTTAAATGTTTTACTGTGAGCAAATCTTGAAAGGTCAGCAATCAGTCTGCAAAGCTTCAGGGTTTCAGGATTATGTTGTGATACAAAAGCAGGTCGAGCAGTGACATCACTTATCGATCCACTAGCTCTGACCTTCCCCTCCCACGATCTGCTGCCGTCAAGCTCTGCTTCTCAGAATGATCTTTCCATGAAGCTAATGGATCAGACGGAGTGTTTGATATGTTTTGATCTGTTGTCTGTAGAATCACCTGCTCCTGAGCTGCTCAGGTGTTCAGCACCAGCAACCTGAAGCTACCTTCCTACAAACGCCTCCAACGTAGATTGAAAACAAAGTTTTACTGAGTCGGGATTGACCTGGTTTTATTTACACCATTCAAAGTCCAAAACTGTCAAAACCCATGTTTACACACTGAACATAGAGAAACGCGACACCAAATTCTGGGAAATCTTCCACAGCTTTATTTCAGATCAGTGGGCTTGATGTCAGCGGTTCATGGCTTGGGATTGGCTAAGGCATTGCAGCGGCTGGTGTAGCAGCAGTTCCAGCCCTCATGGGAGCAGAATTCCAGCCGAGTGCAGCCTCGCTCACCGTTATCTGTAAACACAGCAGAGCGTCCACAGTAAAGCTCTGTGCTGTCAAGTGATTCATTAGAATGTTCTGACCGTGTTCAGTTGGAGGACCCACTTCTGGTGTAGCAGGCCTGTGGGACTTTCCCAGTGCACTGCAGCAGCTGGTTGTTGACCATCAGGAAGTCCTCGCCGTAACACTCGATGTAATGCTGCTGAGCTGCAAGACAGTACAGGAATAAAAACAGATTCATTTGGAGCACAAGTACCGTTTATCTTCCACAGGAAGAGCACGAGTCTCACAGCGAAGCTTTCCACTGATTTGTTCTTTTTTTCAGCAGTCTAGTCCTCTACTGTTCTGAATGTGCTTCTCAGTGACTGTTTTATGTCATGTTGACTGGTTCAGGCCCTGGTAGGCATCTTCTGCATGAAAGCAAATCAAAGTATGGTTGTGGGCTGCACGGTGGCTCGGTGGTCAGCACCGTCACCTCACAGCTGGAAGCTTCTCCCCGTCAGGACGCCTGTGATCTTTGTGCATGTTGTCCCTGTGCAGCGTTGGTTAGCTGTTTGTCCGTCTGTACAGCCCTGTGATAGGCTGGTTACCAGCTCACTGCACGGCCCGATTCAAAAATGAATAATACATGAACCCCTGTCTCACATCAGACCGATCTAGTGGCAGTCAGCAGCTTCTGACGTGTGACCATCAAGTGCCAGTGTGGACATGCAAATACTTATTCAGCAACAGGTGACAGGTGTAGCAGAAGTAATGGTTCTAACCACTCCGCTGATCTTGTCTTCCTATTGGCTGTACTCTCTTACCACCAGTCTGGTTGTGTGAGTGTGTTGTTCTGCCTTCGGCGTAGAGGTGACGGCTGTGAGCGTACCTGAGCAGAGGGGCAGCAGTAGAAGCAGCAGCAGATAAAACTTCATGTTTCAGGTTTTGTAGTGATGCGACTCAACAAGCAGCAAAAAGTGAGGCGACGCAGCAGAGCTGGACTTTTATCCTCGGCTAAAGCACACACAGACAGAACAGATAAGTGATCTGAACACAAAGTTTACTGAACTCACGCTGGTCCAGAAGCAACATCACTGTGTTGTTTGTCTAAACTTTGTTCAGTCTCGAATGCTTCTGACACCAGTTTGTGGTAAGAATGTGCTAATGACAGCAGAACCTCTGCAGCTTGAGCTTCACGTTTGTTTCAGCTCATCAGGAAAACTGGAATGGAAGCGAACACATGTGCTGGTGACTCAATGTGGCCAGAAAACATCATAAAACCTCCTCAGCTACTCTGTTTTTGTGGGATGTGTCCAGAATCTGTTCCTACTGCTAGGCTAAAGGCTGCTAGCTTCATGTCCTGTGCCATCAGTGTGGTTACTGGTTCCAGTCAATCCTGTTTTTGACATCTTGTGCAAATAAGCATGAAGTGACTTTTAATGTTTGTGATTCTACACACAACTACCAAACTGGCTTTTCAGTTATCACTTTTCCTTAAAAAACATCCGTCCATCATCTCTACACCTTCATCCTCACTAGGGGGGCAGAGCCTATCCCAGCTGACTCAGGGTGAAGGCAGGTTCACCTGGACAGGTAACCAGTCTATCACAGGGCTACACTTAGAGACAGACAACCAAGCACACTCACATTCACACCTACGGACAATTTACAATCACCAATTAACCTCAGCATGTTTCTGGACTGTGGGAGGAAGCCGGAGAACCCGGAGAGAACCCACGCTGCACGGGGAGAACATGGAGACTCCACGCAGGAAGATCCCGGGTGTCCTCACCGGGACGCCAACCGGCGACCTTCTAGCTGTGAGGCCACGGTGCTAACCACTGAACCACCTGCAGCCCCATTAGCAGACAGTGTTTTTAAATACTGACCTAAAACTTGGGCTGCACAGGGTCTCTGGGGTAACTACTCCATCTGACCCCCTTCTAGCCTTCGTTGGTGTTCACTCTGGAACCACAAAGTCTCCTCTGATGTCCGTCACATGTTGTGCCGTTCTGCTCAGATGGAAGGCTGCTGCCCTCCTGACCTACAGTCAGTGGCTATCAGATGTAATGTCCTGCCTGATCAGGTCCTCTGTTCAGAACCAAGGGGGGTGGCGACCCGTTGTAAGATCCCTCTCTAATCCCTGCTGATTCTACGTACATCCGTCTGTGGTGATCTGAGCTGTTGTGCTTGGTGTGACACTTTGTTCAGCGCTTGTTGTTCCTGGTGGCTGTGAGTGTGTTTCGGGCTGGGCGGGTCTCTGGTCAGGAGAACACTCACTCCCTCTCCTCCACACCTGAAGCTCATCAGTAATCAGCGCTGCATAAAGCCCGCCTCCACCTGTGCTCCACCACCAGGGGGTTATCCTCCTCTGGGTGGTAACAGGCCAGCAGAGAGCTTAGAAACTTGGTGCTTTGTGTAACTCGCTTTGTCTGACGTCTGCTTCAGTCTGCGTTATTCCCAGAACCTCCCCAACGGATCGCTGCCTCCCCAGGCCCAGCTCTGGCAGCAGAACCCCAGCCTCAGCCGTCCTGCTCCCTCCCCTGGAACTCCCTCCCTCACCAGCTTCCCGGTGTCCCTTAAATAAAACCCTCTGTTCTTCAGCCCTGTGTTGCACTCTTGGATCCCTCCTAGACTGAACCCCGACACCAGCCTTCATTTATTTACTGCAGCTTCAGTTCGAGACGAGGAAAGGAGAGTAAAGAAAAGGAAAGAGAAGAGAACCTGACATCCAGTCTTACAGCAGGACGTGTCACCACCATCACTCTCTGATGTTCTTGGTTTTTGCCGGGATGTTGTGTTTTCGGTGTTTCTTGTGATGTTTCACAAAAGACGTGAACTCCAATCAGTTTCTGGCTGTTTTCTGCTCACTGTCGTTCATTTTTCCCAGGAGAGGATCTGTCATCAGGGAGAACAGCGCCACCTCCAGCTACTCGGCTACAAGTTCTCCTTTCCACCAGACAGAACACAGAACCACTGGGCAGATAGAACCCAGGGTGCAAACAGAACAAGTCCCAACCCATACTCCAGTGTTGTGGTAGCAGACAATGACTCCAGCTCCTCTGCCTCCCCTCCAGAACCAGAACCACAAAGGCTCCAGTACAGCAGACACCAATAATGGCAACAGTGACACCTGGTGGACATAAAATGATGACACCTGTTGTCAGAGTGAGCCCCAATCTGGACCTGAAAACGAAGCCTAAACCGGAAGTGTCTGAAACCTGCGTTACAGCCTAAAAAGTTCTGGCTGCCACTGAGCCCGGTTCTAAACAGGAAAACACAGATGATAAAGACAGCTTTTCTACAGCTCAGGCTCGTTAGTTTTCATGGTTAATCCCAGAGACCAGGTGGTACGTCACCTCCAGTTAGCTCGTTCTAAATTAAAGCTTACAATTAGCACAGCTAGTCACAATATACACATTAATATAATAATGAATTGTAATTTGACAAATAGAAGGTCTCTGGTTTTGCTGAGTGACCAAAAACGGAGTCAGACAAGTTGAAATTATACAGTTGCATTTATTTCTCATCTCGTCCTGTACAACAGTTCAAACAGTGATTGTGGATATTTAAAAGAGGCCAACGTGGTTTCAGGTAGCTGCCGGCATGAAGAGAGTTCACCCGTTAAGTCGCTGGATTTGGTTTTAAGCTTCAGTAAATGAAACTGCCGTGGACCAAACTACGAGCCGAGCCGATGCATTCAAGTGTTATTTAGCAGGAAAATCAAACCCAGAGGAAAAAAAGAATAAAGAGAAGTCGTCACCTCCAGCTTGGCTTCATGACGATGGACTGAACAGAACCAACACAACGGAGCTTTGATTGTGAAAACCCTGATCAGGGGACAAACAGAGGAACATCTGCACTTTGATCACCAAACTTCTCATTTCAAACTCTGATTTCAATTAAAAATTCCAGAAAAGTAAAAAATTTGTCAGTACGAACAGCAAGCAGGACGATAGAACCCAAGATCACGTCACATCATCCAGGTTCTGATTCTAAAATGAATAGAAAGGAGTTCTGTTTTCCCTCATAGTGATTCATGAACTAGTTCCCCTTCTTCCACGTGTCTTAGGAACACTCACATGCTGATGGATGTTGAGGACTTGGTTGTTTTCAATCACTTCACAGTGAATCTGGACTTATTTACTGATATTTAAGCGCTCAGTCAGACTTCAGGTGAAAACCACAGGAGGTGCTCGTGAGGTGTTCGGAGGAGAAGTTTGACATCTTTGAACATGTTGCTGCGCACAACAGAAGTTCACAGACCTGAGTAAGAATCAGATTCAATCCTAATGCACGTTTTCCCTTTTCTCCCTGCTGGGACTCTGAGCCCTGAGCTGAGTCTCCCAGGCAGCGCTTTCCTAGAAGATGTTTAAATGTTGGTGTGGAGCTCCAAACTGCCTGAAGATGCTCCTCCGACTCAGCTCTGAGCAGAGCAGCCCCAGAACCGGTCCTCCTACTGACAGTGCTGCTGGTAGTCCAGTTTTGCTCCCAGTCTGGTTCCTGCCAGACGTTTGCTGAAGACCTCGTCCATCTCTCGGCTCTGTTCTGCTGTGAAGTGGTTCTTCCAGTCGCCCACTTCTCCTGCACACACAGTTAAACAAATTAGCCAATCATACTGTGCATTTAAGGTTCAGTTTTATGTCGTTATCGAGCAGAACACGTTTATTTTAAAATAAATATTCAGTCGTTTGAGGATTTGATGAGACAGCGGATGTCACACACTGAAAAACATTTTACTGCTCATTACAGATTGTTGCTGCTTCGTTAGCTTTGGTGAGAAACATCCAACCGCTGAGCTCAAAGGTTCACAGGATTCAGAGACTCTAGCGCCACCGCTTGTGAACAGCTGGTTCAGTTTAGTCTCCATGGCAACAGAGTCTGAGTGTTGTCGTGTCTGAGATGAACGTAGATTAATAGTTTAAAATCGTTTAAACTTTCACATACGATGTGTTTCCTGGAGTGATTCTGTGTTTCTAACACTGTGATGGACAGAACCGTCTTTATCAATCACCTGCAACTGTCTAAAGTTAAAGATAAGGAACACGTGGCGTTGTGAGCACCTTTCCTGAAGATGACGTTGCCCAGGTTGCCGTGGGTGCTGGCGGAGCCCTGCTTCATGGCGCTGAAGGTGCTCTGTCCTGCGATCTGCTGGATCTGATCCTCCGACAGCTTAAAGCCGAAGAAGCTGCAGATCTGACGGACGCCGTCGGTCAGGTTCTGCAGGGAGAAACGTACAAAACATACAGCTCAGCGTGTGGTTGTTAATGTGTGTGTGATGTGGTGCTGCTCAGGGAACGCTGCCGTCCTCTTCATCCTCTACACACAACACAGAACGCTGCCACATCCAGAAGCTCTCCGACCACACAGCCGCTGGTGGATCAGAGGGGAACCAACTGGAACACAGGGAGGTCATCAGAGACACTGTCAGCTGGTGAGAGCTCAACCAGCTTCAGCTTAACGCCAGTAAGACAAAGGAGCTGATGATGGACTTCAGGAGGAAGACGTCACACACCAGGGAACATCCAGGGTCTGGACACGGAGGGAGTGGAGAGCTTCACATTCCTGGGTGTTCACATGACTGGACTGGACAGACAACAGCCACGACCGGTACCGGAAGGGCCAGAGTCGCCTAACCCTAACCCAGGAGACTGAGCTCCTTCAGAGTGGGCAGGACTCTGCTCAGAACTTTCTCTGACTCTGTGGTAGCTTCTGCTATCTTCTCCGCTGTGGTCTGCTGAGTGGAGGCAGCACAGACAGGAAGAGGCTCAACAAGCTCATCAGGAGAGCGAGCTCCGTCCTGGACCGACTCCATGGAGGAGGTGTGTAGGGTTAAACCAGCGTTAATGTAGTGAACAGCTGTGTGACGGACCTGCTTCAGGTCTTCATACGTCACAACCATCACGTTGGGATCGTCCATCTTCTTGTCCCAGCCGATGGCGTGATCGAAGTACGAGCCCCAGCCGACTGCACAAACACAAGAACACACGGTAAACATCAGTTTGATCATTTCTGTGTCAAAACGTGTTCAAGTTTTCAGGGTGATGGTCAGGTTTCTGCTCTGATCTGAACGTCACCATCGACATGTGAAACGTAGAAACTTAAAGTGAGAGAGTGAAAAACTGAACCTTTAGTTGGCCTGAAAGTCTCTAAAATGTTTTTCTAATGAACAGTGAACTCATCACCAGACTGCAGCTCCTCTGCTGACAGACTCACCGTCTCCACTCATGAACTGGGAGAAGTAGGCGTCCCAGGACTGTGCTGATGGGAGCACTGGGTTGTTGTTGGAGAAGTGATAGTAGGAGACCATGGTGTCTTTGGGGTTCCTGAAGATCACCAACATCTGAGCAGGAACAAAGACACCACAGACGTTCTAATGTTGTGTTTCCTGAACAGTCAGCTGAGTGCTCAGCAAAAAAAAAGAGCAGTGAGAGCAGCAAATGACAAGAATAAATCAATAAAAGAATAAATAAATAAAAATTAAAATTACATACAAAATTTAAAAATGTAATAAATAAAAAAAATAATTTAAAAAAATAGAAAAATGTAAAAATAAATAAATGTTTATTATTTTATTTATTTGTCTTTATATTTCTACTTTCATCAGCCTTTTCTTTGATGGATTTATTTTTGACTAATATTGCTTTATGTTGCCACATCATTTATTCTTTATTTTATATTTTATTCTTCTTTTTATTTCTACTTTTATTTTATTATTCTTTCACTGATTTATTTCTGTCGTCTGGCCTCTCACTGCTCCATATGCCACATTCACAACAATTTATATTCGTTCTTCTACATCTGACGGTAAAATCAAACTTCATCTTCGTGTGTTTAAATCTGAAAACATATTATTGTATAAATATTTGATGTTATTTATAATGTCGATGTTTTTTTTCACTGGTCTTTTTTCAGAAAGCGTTTGTCAGACAGTGACAGCACAGATAGAAATAAGAATGAAAAGAGTTTCCCTGCAGAACTTCTCCACGCTGACCTTGGTCTTCTTCTCGTAGAAGCTCTTTGGGATGTTGTCGGGGTGAAAGTGGGTCCCCATAAACCTCGGAGACGGACGTTCATCCATGACCTGAGAGCAGAGGAGGAACTCATCAGTGAAATGTTCCACCATGGTGGTTGTTCTATGGTCGGGTTTGGACGCCAACAGCTGCTGGTTTGGTTTGATACTGAAGAAATGGACGTTTTTGCTTCCACTGGATGTAAATAAGAGCAAACACCAGAATGCTAGTAATGAGTCCAGGAAGGGTTAAACGGCCTCATGTTCATGATCTTCTGACTCCTGCCGGGTCAGAACAGCTTCACGGTGCAGACGTTCAGCTGATGATTAACCAGACCACAGACCTCAGACCAGCCCTTTTGTCTTTTTTCCCCAAACAGGAAACAGAAAGCCGTTTTCTGATCACACATCAGTGCTTTCTGAAAACAGGAGCTTCACCTGCCTGACGACGGCTCATCTCCTTAGAAATCATTCATCCAGATCCAGAGCTGCTGACGGGCAGATCCACCAACATGGAGGAGGTCCAGATATGAAACCACAGGTCTGAGGATCAGCTCTCTGGGTCTGGGTTTGGGTCTGGGTCTGGGTTTGGGTCTGGGTCTGGGTTTGCGGAAACAGAACGAGGCTGAAGCTGATGAACCTTCCTCCAGTGGAGTGACTTCAGCTGGTTTAACGCTGTGTGAAGTCAGAACTAAAGGCAGTGAGTTCAGCTTTATGAGCCGTTCAGCTGCTCCTGTTTGTGCTGCAGCATACCAGCCTGGTGTCCCTGTTTACCCACTTTATTAATGCAAACATGCGCTGTTTGTATGACAGGCTTCCAGTGCACAATAAAGAGGTTCAATCAGGGTTCACGACCTCAATCAGCTGCACCTGGACAGTAAAAGGTTCAAACAGAGCTACTGATTGATCTCCAACTCGTTATCAGTCACTGTTTTACTGCCTGCTGCAGGAAAAAAGGAAAAGACAGAGTTCACGAAGCTGGAAACATCTCCAAGCAGCTTGTTTAATACGAGGAGCTGAACAGTCTGTGCTTTGCTCTCGTTAACCATTTATGCACTTTTATTTAACTAACAGCAGTTATGCAATGAGGCCAAAAGTACGTGGACACTCAATTGAAATGATCAAAAGTATGTGGACAGTTCATTAACGTAGCCTGACATGGTCAAAAGTATACAGACACTCCCTCCCAGTGTGACACCAGTAGCCCACACACATCCACACTTCCCTCATGGCTTAACTCCTCAGTTGTACTCTTACAGTGCCAGATGGAGGCGTCCGGTTCGTACCTTCAAGGTGTCTGGTCCAAAGAACTCGATCAGTGGAGGTATCCTCAGCTCATTCTTCTGTCCCGTCGCTGCCTCGATGATCTTCTTCAGCACGCCGACCATCCAGTTAAAACCTGCAGCAGAAGAACAGAATCCAACACACGCAGTCAGAAGAACCTTGAACAAACGTTGATCCGCTGCGCTGACAGAAGAACGCTGTGTGTGGTCTGAACTCTAATCTGCACATTAAACCTGAACTGAAGTCGTCCTGACTTCATGAAAGCAGCTCCGTCGTTTCATTGTTCTTCACTTTGAGCTTCTGAACCGAGGAGCCGCAGCTTGGACAGATTTGATAACAAACAGCTTTTAAAGTAACATTTAAAACAGTGACAGTATAAAAACCAGCTCATGTTTAATCTGTTGATAACTGCTACGTGAAGTAAAACCTAAAAACGATTAAAACTGCAGAAAAAATTCAACTTAACATTAGAAAAGTCAGTTAGAAATCCATCTGATCGTGGTTGTTCAGCACAAAACACTAAAACTTCATTAGAAATAATGTGCAAAGCTTTTTTTTTTTTTAGCAGCAGTCAACTTAAAACCTGTTTGTCCAGGTGATGCAGTAAACGGTGATTAAAGGTTGTTGGATGAAGGTAACTTCATGAGAAGTTGTCAGAACCTAAACCCAGTGAGACTCCTGCAGGTTCTGAGCATTATGAGCTCTGCAGCGTCTCCGGGACGATTCTCCTGTTTCCTCACAGATCCTGGTGTCAAACGAGGACACGTCTAACAGTCGAGGAGCTGCAGCTCTGCTTTATGTCTTTATGACGCCTCCAGCTGATGTTCACGTGTCTTCAGGGCTGGAAGTCGGTGTCAGAGCTCCGGCTGGGTTTGTGTTGGTTGGGTTAAGGTTTGGGTTGAACTCCGGCTCACGTTTAGCATCTCTGTGTTACGACTGGTTTATTGGTTTTAGGTTTGTTTCCAACAATCTTTCCACCATTTTCCCACTTTGAGTCAGACATGTCACCCTTCTGTCCACTACTGAACTGTTTTAACCCGTCAGTGAACCTCCTCAACCATTTAGACACTTTTATGTTGTGATTTCAGCTTTTATTGAACTATCTCAAGAGTTTACACACCTCTACTTGTTTAACTGTCTAAATAGATTTAATAAACTACTTCAGCTATTCATACACGTTTATTGAACTATTTCACCCCTTTGAACACTTTATTTTATTACAGATGAAGACAAATGCAACTCAACAAAGGACATAAATAAATAAATATGAGGCGTTGTTTGGTATTTTATTGTGCCTTTGTGCACATGTTAGCTTTCATATTTATCAAGGGTGTGAAGTTCACAGAATATCAGATAATAGAAGCAGCGCTGTCATTTCTTTATTTGCACTCATTCATCTATTCAACTGTGATTAACTTTAGTTTTTAAATCATATGTCAAAGTTAAAGTGTGGATAAAGTTCACGTGTGCACTGTCGGGAACTTTTCGGGCCGGTTCCACTCTCGTTTAATCTTATCAAGCCAGTAATTAATGAGCCCCGAGCTGTGTTTCAGGCCTCTGCTCCAAAATGACATCCCATAATAACAACCGCTTATCTGCAACCACAAGGTCTGTTTCAATCATTCTGGTGTCACAATAAAAGGAACACTTGTGAGATTTGTTCAGACGTGTAAATATCAGTTTATATGTTCCTGGTTCAGAGTGAATGCAGACGGCACACAGCACAGAGGAAACATGTTCAGGTTCTCCTAAAATAAAAGCCCTGTCATTGTAATGATGATGTTTGTACTGATCCAGCTGCAGCTCTGAACCTCTCCCAGATCACAGACAACATGTGAACATTGTGACTCTGATAAAGTGAAGCAGAACAACATCAGAGAGTTTTTAGTCCAGACGGTTCAGGCGAGCTCTCATTCTGGCTCACTGGTGACCATCTGAATGTTCTCATGTACAAACTATATATTCCACTAGTAT